GTCAAGGAAAACAATCAAGTGAAGAGAACGCCCACAGAGTGGAAAGAATCTTTGGTAGTTATATATTCAAAAGAGGATTGCTATCTAGAATATATGAAGAACATTTTAAAAAGAATCAGGAAAACAAACAATCCAGCCACCCCGAAAAATGAGTTGTGGATCTGAACAAAGAATTTTAAAAAGAGAAAGAAGAGGAGAAAAGAAGGAAGGGAGGAAGGGAAGGGAGGGAGGAAGGGAGGGAGGGAGGGAGGGAGGGAGGAAGGGAGGGAGGGAGGGAGGGAGGGAGGAAGGAAGGGAAAAGTGAATAGGAAAGACTACTAGCAATAGTGGAAAGGATGCCTGAACTGGCTAGTAATCAGATCGGTAAATACCCTAACTGTCATCATAGAGCCTTCATCCAATAACTGATGGAAGCAGATGCAGAGATCCACAACCAAGCACCAGACTGAGCTCCAGGAGTCCAATCGAAGACAGAGAGGAGGAATTCTATGAGCAAAGGGGCATCAAGATCATGATGGGGAAACCTACAGAGACAACCAAACCAAACTAGTGGAAACTCATAAAATTTAGACCAACAGCTGTGGAGCCTCCATGGGACTAGACTAGGCCCTCTGCATAAGCAAAACAGTTGTGTAGCTTGATCTGCTTAAGGGGCCCCCTGGCAATAGGATCAGGATCCATCCCTGGTACATGAGCTGGCTTTTTGGAGCCCGCTACCTATGGTGGGACACCTTGCACAGCCTTGATGCAGGGGGAGGGGCTTGGACCTGCCTCTAGTGAATGTACCAGGCTCTGCTGACTCCCCATGGGAGGCCTTACCTTGTTAGAGGAAGGAATGAGGGGTGAGTAGTGGCAGGGAAGGCTGGATGGGCAGGAGGAGGGAAGAGAGGGGGATCTGTGGTTGATATGAATGAATGAATAAAAAAAATGAATTAAAAATTTCTAGAAAATAAGTAAATAAATAGATAAATAAATAAATGAATGAAAATACCTTTTAAAGTGTTCAAAGGCCATGCCTTTAATTCTGACTCACAGAGGCAGGTGGATCTCTGTGAGTTCCAGGACAGCCCTATTTAATAAGACCCTGTCTCAAAAGAAAAAAGTGCCCAGCATCCTTAACAGTCAGGAAAATGAAGATTAAAACTACCTTGAGATTCCATCTTACCTCAGTTGTAATGACTAAATTCAAAGCAGTAACTGACAGCAAGTGTTGGCAGGATGTGGAGAAAGAGGAACCCTTAGTCACTGTTGGTGGTATTGAAAACTGGTGCAGTCACTATAGAAATCAGTATGGAAATCCTCAAAATTCTCAAAACAGATCATAGGACCAGTGTTACCACCCTTTGGAGTGTGCTCAGTGATGCAACACCCTACACAGAGATGCTTGCCATATTCTATTCGCAATAGCTAGGAAACAGAAGTGGCCGAGCTACCCATCAACAGTGAATGAAGCGTGACACATTTACATAACTGAATTCTATGCAGTTGTGAAGAAACAAATTCACAGGTAAATGAATGGAACTTAACATATTATACTGAGTGATGTAGCCTAGACCCAGAAGGACAAACAATCATGTTCTCTCTTATTTTTTAGATCCTAGATCCAAATCTTTAAATTTAAGTGTATGGTTTGGAATAACCATAGAAGTTGGGAAAGGAGAAAGGGACCATGGGGGAAGGCAAGGAGATGGATCTCTAGAGAAGATGAGAGCAGGACACTGGTGCTATGAAGGGAGAGAGGGTCAAAATAGAGAAGAGGGAACTAACTGGGAAGGAATGAGAGAGGATAATACAAATAGCGAGGGATGGAGAGGGGTAAATAACACTAAGTATGCTTGGAAAAAGCCACAGAGAAACCTGTTATTTTATCAACTTACAAGAGAGAGAATGAGCTAATAGAGTTAACCCATACAGTGTGATAAGGCTCCCCTCAGAAGCCAAAGACTAACAGAAACCCCAGTGCCGGGCATGGGATCCCACCCTTTGAGGTTGGCTGGGGAGAACAAGAGCCCACCAAAACAATATAGGCTATTATCACAGGTCTTGGTTGCCTTCCAGAACTTGATGGTATGACGTGATTACTGAATACCACACACTTCTGTTGATCAAAGGACTTGGAGAAATCAAGCTAGTACTGACTTGGTCTCCTCCCTGAGGCCTAACTGTCATCGTGTTGAAAGGCACCACACAAGCTGCCAAGTGAGAAGAGTTATCAATAGTCCTACCCGGTTGTAAATCCTGAGGGGGGTGGGGGAGTGGGGAGAGACAGCATGGCAGAGACAGAGACACTGAGACACAGAATATTTTGAAAAGGGGGAGACAAGGATAAAACAATAATTTTGCTGTTTACAAAATACATTGACATTATTTACATATTTGTGTCATAAGGATAATTGTTATCAATGGCAGAAGTTTTTCAAGTCCAGCTTCTTTCTCATTTACTCTCTGAAAATGTCATATATGTATATCGTGTATTATGTTTGTAACTGCCCCTCATTTCTCCCTCCAGTTCCCCCAACACACCTAACCACATCCTTCTCCCAACTCTCCTGGAACTTTTTTTTTCTTTTTGGGTTTTTTAATTTTTTTTTTAAGACAAGACCTATCTGTTATGTAGCTCTGGATGTCCTAGAACTCACAGAGATCCACCTGCTTCTGCCTCCCAAGTTCTGGGATTAAAGGTGTGCACCTCTCCCAGCTCATATATATACATATATATGAATGTGTGTGTGCCCATATGCACATGGGGATGGGGCCATCCACTGAATCATGGGCAACCTATCTGTGGCTACAACCCCAAAGAAAAATGACTATCCCTCCCCACAGCTGCCAGCACTCTCAATAGATCCTGAGATGGGGTAGCATCCTCATGAGCCGCCACTCCCCATCCGTGGGGAAAGTCTGGCCACTTGATCTTGTGAAACAAGCAAAAGCTGCTGTGAGCTCATGCGTACAGCAGTCATGTCAAGTACAGCAGTCATGTCAAGTACAGCAGTCATGTCAAGTACAACAGTCATGTCAAGTACAACAGTCATGTCAAGTATAGCAGTCATGTCAAATACAGCAGTCATGTCAAGTATAGCAGTCATGTCAAGTACAGCAGTCATGTCAAATCCAGAAAACAGCATTCCGCCACACTCCTCCACATCCTCTGGCTCTTCTATTCTTGCTACCCCTTCTTCCATGATATTCCCTTGGGCCTTGGCAGGGCGTAGAGATTGATATAAATGTCTCCTTTAGGGCTGAGCACTCACAGTTACCTATCCTTAGCACTCTCTCCAGTGTAAGACTCTGCATTAACCACTGCAGAAATAAACATCCCTGTCAACGGTTAGAATAGCCGATATCTATAGGTATATGCATAAATATTTCAAAGGCAGTTTGACAGCAGGACAATATAGGAAAATAACAATTGTAGGAGCCCTTCTAGGGCCTGTGGCCTCCAGAGCCATAGGCTTTTGACTACATTTCCAGACCTAGGCATGAAGTGCCTCCTTTAACAAGGCTTCAGATCCAGCCATAGAGCAGTTGGCTGTCCACTGGGGTCATGCCACTACTGCACCAGTGAGCACATTTTGCCTGGCAAGAAAGTTTCGTAGCATGTGGGGTCCAGTGCTGGGTAAGATCATTCGTGTCTTTTTTTTTTTCCATTTCGGGGTCTGAGTACCACTTTTTAGCACCAGGAAAACTAGACAACAGAGAGGAAAACTCCTGGTCAACTTGAAATTGACCTCTCTGTGTCCTACAACCAAAATATGCGGTGGTCTTCAGCAATGGGATCTTACTATTTATTTATGGTAGACAACTAAGAGTAATGGCAACAGCCTAGGATGTTTGCAGCTCTCCCTTACTAGTACTTCAAAGGGAGGCAGCTTATGCCAAGCACTGAAGCTTTCACTTAATAACCCACGTCTACAGGGAGCAGTATTGACTTTCTTAAGTAACATTATTTGAAGCTATTAGGTCTGTAGTTGGGTATGAAGGTGTCTTTCTCCCAAAATACCAGCTTCCTCAATGTTCCCTGTAATTGGCAGAATCTCTGCTTTCCTAAAGTGTATACTGACTCATCCCTTCTTCGGAAACTAGTCTCAGATGGTGATCCGTGTATAAAATCATACCTTTGGAAAGACTAAGAGGGCAGAAAAAGTTTTAAGCAGCTGCTGTTCTGTCTGCATCTATATCACTCTTATCTGCTCATGGAGAAAAACCTACGCATACTGATGATTCCCTTTTAAGTGACCAAAGATAACTTCCCAATCTTGTTTGGTACCGATGTATCAAGTGACCGACTGCCTAAAGAGTAGGGCAGAGTTGACTTTAGACTTGTTTGCTTCAGGCAGGACATTCTAAACATTCTTCCTCTTCCCACAGAGAATATGCACCAAAGATTTTCTGTAATTCTTGCAGAGGAGCCAACTTAAATCTCTTTTTTAGAAACCGTTATGGCTAGTCAATTAGCCTCAGATGAAAATACCTAAGAAATTCTGAGAGGAAAAAAGATTCATAAAATTTTCAGCATCTAGTTAACATTTTCATCTTCCCTTTCAAGCCCTGGGAGGCTATTTTGGTGTTTCACTCTAGGGTATATGTGTTGGTGGGGTGGGGGGTGGGAGATGACTTTTACCATAATAAACATGAGGGTCAAAATCTTGAGAATGTTGGCATTAGGGCACTAGCTTTATATACAGATAAGCACTTGCACAAAACAAATAATGGCTTGTTTTCTACCTATTTTACATATATTTCCCCAAGCTCACCGAAATGATTGTCTTCAAAGCCTGTGTCCATTATCCTCTCACTGTCTTCCCTGCAATCGCGCCTCTGAATAAATACAGGGGCTGAGTTACAATTTAAAATAATGAGACCCTGCAGGCCCAGTGTCCTCACATGCAATAAAAGGGTGTGGACTAATTGCAGGAGCACAATTTTTTTTCCTACATTTGCTTCACTTTGATTGGTGGATTGGTGCTTTAAATAAAGGTTTCTGATCTTTCCAGAATGAGAGACACAGAGAGAGCCCCAGGCACAGTGCAGGAAAAAAAAATTAATCTACTTTTCTTAGAACTATTTTGATTGGCATCATCAGGCCTGGGAGCACAGTGAATGTCAGCATCTAAGGTAAAATGTGATTTTATCATTTCCATATGTTTGCTGTAAATTCTCTTTTCCTATCTCCAGATAACCTTTAGAAAGAAAATTTATCTTTATTACAAGAAGACTATTTCAACCATTAGAATGTTCCAGAAAATACAATAATACCATTTGGCTAAGAAAACAAACTTATTTGTACAACTTTTTAAAAATGTTTGTGTCTATTAGTGATGGTGCCTAATGTATAAAAATATGGAGGGTGAGCACAAGTTCTAATCAGATGTGCATTCAGGTCAAAGTAATGGGCCTTTAGAACTTACAAAATACATTTTAAGATTATTCATTTTTAGGAAGGAAAAATCACTAATATCAAAGGGGATAAATATAGTCAACACTAACTTGAAAGCTATGTGTTGAAATGATTCTGTATTATGATCCAATTATAGATTTATTTCAAATGCACTTCAAATTTTATCTGAACTTAAACAAAGAATAAAATTCTGTGACTTGTGGTTGCTAGACCCATCTTATGAAGTGAAGCATAGCATTTAAAGAATATTCCTGGAGGTTGCTCTTAAATACTCGTTTAGATTGTAGCTTCATAACAATAAATGCTCAGATAGATATTTTAACTGTTTGTCATTTCGTCCTGGGAACCACTTGTTCAGCGACACTTGGCTTTGTTAATTTGTGGTTGTTAATGATGATTGCTTGCTTGCTTGCTTTTTACCTGATTCTCTTTGGAAGAACAGACACTCACTCTTAGAAATGTACTTTGACCATTATGAATGCAATTCTGCCTGATGTAATTTTCCAACCCAACTGTGTTTTAGATTCCACTTTTCAAAATGAAGGGCCTGATCCTGTTCCTGTCCCTAGTGAAAATGAGCCTGGCGGTGCCGGTAAGTCCATCCCAGGGGATCTGTGAGGCTCCTGAGTCTGACTAAAGCAACCCTGGAGGGTTATCTGAGGGTCCGAGCACTGACTGCCTTAACTGAATACAGTGTGTAGCTCCTGATGAATCATGAGTTGTGGTGGCCAGACATCAGCTTTATCATCTAAAAGCAATAAGGCCAATACAATCTTCCACTCCAAAAAATATTTTAGAATATTTCAAAGGCAACTTCTATATCTCACTTCACTCTTTTAAAAGTTAACAGACTAAAGTATCACGGTTCTCATTATGCTATTTTATTATCAATTTCTTGCTGTCATTATGAAATTGAAGTGAAAAGAGAAAACATCTCCAAGGGGGAAAACTATGTGTCTCTTTATATTAGCAACATTACATGGTTATAAAACTAAAGCACATAGTTCCAGTTAAAGATACTCATTAGCTGGCACATTTAGCTGTTCTACCACCCAACAGGAATTTTTAAATGAAAGAAAAATCGAGGCAGGCTACCTAACTTGCCATTGTATGATAACTGAGACTGAGGTCCATTTCAGTTGTCCATCATCGATCTAAAACATTGGCTCTCTTTGAATATATAGTGATCCACATCTGAGTACTTCAGAGTCATACTGAGGAACAGGGAAACCACTTGTCTGTCCATTGGATCAGATGTTTCTGCTTTTAATTCCCCACAGAAAATGCATCTCTGTGTATTTATATCCATGTAAATAATGTTCCTCTTTAATGTATGGCTTGGAGTAGGTATAAGCAAACTACTTAGACCCATAGTTAGAGCTCTCCAAAATTTGGAATTAGGACACTTATCAATAAGGGTGAAGGTGGCTCTGCTCTCACAATACCCCCAAATTCTGAACACCTCCTGGTGCACACATGCACACAGGCACACACAATCACTTCCCTTGTCTACACAGCTCATCTATTTCTCTGCTAAAAGTGTTTGCTACACATTTTTAGTGGCTTTCCTTCAACATAAGGCCAAAATGAATTATTTGGAAAAATTTGCATCGTAACTCAGAAAAAGGGGTCGTACTTGTATGAAAAAGTTAAGGATAAAAAAAAAAGTACAGGGTGGAATTCCTTAGCCTCTTATTCCTAAAAGATAAGGATCCCACTGTTCCATACTTGTGGGGTGGATGGATGGACAAACAAAAAGGTGCTTGTAGTATAAATGAAAGACAGAAAGAATTACAATCTCAACACTAGGTAATTGAAAATATCCATGAAATCAAAGACTCTCAAAATCCAATTTTTGGTAGGTAAGGTAAAATCATAGAATTGATCCAGCACACAGGAAGCTGAGAATATTGTGAATTAGTAGCCAGCCTTGGCTACGTAAGTTCAAGGCCAGCCTAAGCTAAATCCCAAAGGCTTGTCTAAAACATATAAGTAAATAATTTTTTAAAAAACTTTAAATTTAAAAATCCAATTTCTCTTCCAGTCTCCACCCACCCTCAGACACTGGTATTTGTGCTTATTACCATACAAAAAAATTAAAAATGACTAGAAAGAGAAGTATTTTATATTTTTAGAGAGCTACTTGTAAATATACTTAGGCTTCACAATAGCATAGTACTTAGTACTAGAATATTTTTTATTTGTGAAAAAATAATTCATTGTCTGATTGAAAAATTAAAGATATATTTTATTATTTTTATTTATGTGTGTGGGTGTGTGGGTGTGTGTGGGTGTGTGTGTGTGTGTGTGTGCACGTGTGTGCGCGCGCGCACACGCGCGCGCATATGAGTGCAGGCGCCTGAGGAGGTCAGAGGCATCAATCCTCCTGGAACTAGCATTACAGATGGTTGTGAGCCACCTGACATGGATGCTAGAAACCAAACCCAGGTCTTCTGGAAGAACAACAGGTGCTCTTAATGCTGAGCCATATGTCCAGCCCATGATCTAAAACTTTAAACATAGATCCGTGAGCTTATACCCAGAATAATCTTAAATAATGGCACAGAGGCCTTTTGAATGGGAGGCAAGATAGGTCTGCACATGACTTTTCTCAATGCTTAACCATACCATATCCCATAAGCCAAAATCACAGATGTTTATAAAAAGCATAGGAACATTTAGCTCACATGTATCTCCTTTGCTTTTATATGTGATCATAATTAAGACTATGAAGTACTCTTGTGTTTTGTTCCCTTATTTTATTTCTCATTGTAAATCAGTTTTCTTTTAAAGAAACATAGTATTAAGATGAACACAAAAAAATTATGTGGGAGCAAAATTACTAAGTATAACAATTCCTCCAAATGACTTGAATTCTTCATTCTGTCTGAAAAACAAAGTCATTTGAGTAATAAACCAATATGGTAGCCTCTTAGATATTCCATTCAGCAGGGACCTCTTACTCCAAACATACATTTACAGAAATTTCTCAACAAAGAATTCAAGATCATTCATATTTCTATTTAGGCATTTCCTCAACAACCTGGGGCTCCAAACATGGCACCTCCGGGCATGGCTAGTTTGAGTCTTGAGGTAAGTATCATCAGTCATTTATATATACATATACATATACATATACATATATATATATATATGTGCAATTTCTATACTAGCCTGTCCCTGCTTGTAGATAGATATGGTGTATTGTTTCTCACTCTTCCTAGTCCAGAAATCTTTGGCTGTCATTCTGAGCAATTCTAAAATGTTAATGGTATTCATTACAATTTTATCTTATAAATTCTACTTCAGTTTTAAACTCTGAGGTATTTTAAGTTTTAGGTCACTTATATGTGAATCAAAGGAACACTAATAATTAATACTTAATATATGTACATTAATTAATTAATTATTGTACCTGCTGAAACATTCTGTAATTGAAAACAGATTCCATTTATCTCTGATGCTTATATCTTAGATAATAAAGCTCTATGACACAAACATATTTGCACAAAGTTTAGCTGTTAAAAAAAGATCCTATCAGTAGCATTAACATTAATATATATTCTGTTTAGAAAACCACAATAAAATAGGAAGATTTTATAATGAAGAAGCTAACAGAAAGTACCATGAGGCTATAAATATACTGAAAGCAATCAGTATATATATATATGGACCAGATAGTTATTTCAGATGGAAAGCTACCTTCATTGAGTGTTTCCCCTCATCTTTCTGCTCAAATTCAATACAAGCAACATTATTCTTTTCCCATTTAAAAGGTGAATCTTGGCCAGGTATGGTAGAGCTCACCTGTAGTCTCAATATGCAGGGAGACTGAGGTGAGAAGGAGGATCATGAGTTGATCCTCCCGGGTCCCCATGGAGACCAAGCTGGGCTCTACAGGGAGACCCAGTCTCAAAAAAAAAAAAAAATAGACAGAAAGAAATTTACTTTTCACAGAAACAATGGCATTCTTGGCAATCTACCTAGATACCACTTCTTACAATATTTAGTATCTATTATATTGAAGTCCTTTTTGGCTGGGGGGGGGAGAAATGAGGGTTTATTTGTATTGTCTGAAAATTCTTTTTCAGGCTGATTTTGTAAAGTAAATAAATTAAAATAATTTAATTGAGGGAAAGAGAGTTGATAAAGCAATAGTCTCATAAATGACCTTGTATTGAATGAGCTATTTTCCTATGTCTCCATGTGACATCCAATTTACTAGTATTTTCTCATTTAATGAATGGCAAAAACAAGCTCACTGTTTTCACAGACTAATCATGTCAATATCTCTTTCCTTCAGTGATAACTTGTGTCTATTTTAGCTTTATTCAAGTTGACCTGCCCCAAGATTTGCATTGATGATGTTAAATGTCATGAGAAACCAACTATGTCCAATGGGCAGCTATCCTATGTTAGCACACTAACCCACTTTTTTTTTTAATAGACGATGAGACAGTTGGGAAGCTTGCAGGGACTCAACGCACTTTCTCAGGTAACTATTGGAGATGAATGAGATCTTCCTAAAAACTTTACTTGGAAATATTTATTATGAGCATTCATGGTTGGTGGCTATGACAGCAACAGCATGGTAACTGATGACATTTGTTTATTAATTGGCAATGCCCAAACATTAAGAGAAGAAATGAGTGATTAAGAAAGACTTAAACAAAATAGAGTGTGATAGTCAAGCATGGGCCTCACTCCTGTCACCCCAGGGGTTGGAAGACTGCGTCAGGAAGAGTGCTGTGAGTTCAGAGCCAGCCTAGGCTACATAGTCGGTCTCCAAAAACAGGTTATAGTAGTGATGATGTATGGTGGCAGAAGGAAGTAAAACAATATACCCAACACTCAGAAGACTGAAGCAGCAAGATTGCAAAGTCAAGACCAACCTAGGGACATGGTGTCGTATAACCCTGTCTCAAAAACACCAACAAAATAAACTGTCAAAACACATGCACTGAATTTCCTTAAGTAAGTAAGACAATACCCTTTCTTACACTGATAATTTTGTTAAATGGCCCCAAACACAAATTCCCAATCCATAAGTCTCAACCAAGATTATGGGACATTGTGACTTGGCCCAGAACATAATTTAATTTTGTTGGAAAGAAAAAAATGACTTATCCATTTTTTCTATCAAGCGGTAAATTTTTTTTTTTGTTCCTCTCTCCTAATACTGAAATATATGTATGTTTTCTTCCTCCCCATCAGTACTCTAGACTCGGCTTCGGGAAAGCACTTAATACTTTGTGGCTGCATGGTCTCCTCCCACCGCATAACGCTTTCCCATGGATAAGACCGAGGGAACATGAAACCCAACAGGTAAGCTAATTACATCCATGTATTCAAACTCCAAGCTTTAAGCTCTTTTCCTACTTTTCTTCTTGAAACTGACACCTACTAGCAGCAAATACAAATTAGCAATTAACAAAAAAATTTCCCTAGTACCAAATAAATCAACTCCTATAACTGCTGTTACTTGGGAATTTTTCAAAAAATGGGAGTTTGTTTCAATTAAAACAAATTTGCATTTTTATTTCAAACAGCTTCTGAAATAAGATATCTACAGTAAAGATATCAGTAATAACAACAAACAACCTCAGAAATGAAAACAGGCTATATACTGGATAATTTTCATTTTAATGAAAATTTCCTAGATAATTACCTAAAGACTAATTTCAAATGACAATGAGCATCCTGACCAACAACACTATGAGAGAAACTAATAAATCTATCAATTTGTCAAGTGTTATTTATTAGGTTCCTAATGAGCATATTGTCTAAACTGTGGTTTGGGGGTGAAAATAGGGTTATTTTAGAATGGCACAAAGGCTCATGAGACTTCAAATCTGATGGGACATATTCCAAGATGTTAGTTGAGAGGTAGAAGTAATGAATGCTATAGGAGCTGACACATGGGCGATGGTTGAAGACAAAAAGCCGTGCCAAGTTAGCATGACTTCCAGACCAGATCTAGGAGTGTACAGTTAACCTACAAGTAACCTGTACTCAATCACAAGCAGTTTCTACATACAAAAAATCACATGGTAGTTCCACAGTTACTTTTAATTTTACATGGACTTCCATAACAGCATATCTACAAGGCCACACTGACCATACAAATTACGTTATTAGTGGCCGTTTCTTCACTTGTTTCCAAAGTAGATTTATGATGAAAATATTTAAGTATTTTAATTACCCTTTTATTAGATCACAAAATATATTAATACCCGTTACACACTGAGCACTTATTAGTAGCAATATTAATACATTAAATATGGGGGTTGGATAAAGGTCAATAAGATATTGTTCTCTGTCAGTTGACTTAGGGAGAAGTTTGTGACAAATTCTTGTAATCTAGTAAGAAAATGGTGAAATAAAGATATACAGGTAGTGGTGGTTACCCAGAGGAGAGGAGACATTCTACCACAAAATTCAGACACATAGATTTCCACGCCCCAAGAAACAATGGTCCCAACAAAAGTAGAGGGGTAAGTACATTTAAAACTTTCCCAAGTACACTGCCTCTGCCTCCTGCTTCAAGACTCCTCCCTTCCAAACAGCAAGCATCCACGCACTTGGCTGTAGAGATTCTAGGCACCGTGGTTCGATGAACCATCTCTTCCTGACACTCTTTTCAAATTTCTCTACAGTATGAATATTCTTTGCCTGTGCATCCCCCACCTCTCCCATCACAGCCATCCCTGCAGCCTCACCAACCAGGACTGAAACCCTTCCTCCAGCCCACTGCAGCGACTGGTGTCCAGGTCACACCCCAGAAGCCAGGGCCTCAGCCTGCAATGCACCCTGGACAGCTACCCTTGCAGGAAGGAGAACTGACAGCAGCGGATGATCAGCCTCAGGTGGTGCCCTCAGAGATCACACCAACAGCCGAGGTAACTCTCCGATATCAGAGCGGGACTACCCACTAACACAATGAAAGAAAAACTAAGTGGAGGGACATACTTAAATAATCATGTCTCTCATGACTAATATACTAAAAAACGAATACTTTATTAATATTCTTTCATGAGACATAAATATCCGTTTCTATTTTGCCATCAGAGATGGCACAGATTCCAAAAGATCTGCATCTCTAAACTTGTCTTGATGGACCCTTCCCTTGGGAATAAGACTATTCAAAGAAGGTCAGGCATACTACCTTGGGTTTTCCAGTGTTGATAATACTTAGCACAGTGATTGCTTCCTCTGCATAACAAGTCAAATATTGGATTATTATCCCTCTGCAGATAAAATACAACTATGCAAAATTACCTTGTAATGATATAAAGAAAAAGAACAATGGACAGAAAAAGAAAGGTGCCGTGCAACTACCAATTCTACGTAGCAGACATTAACATTCACTCCTATCATTCTGACTACAATCCTATAAAAATAAACATCATGAACCTTTTTAAACCTAAGAAGATGCCAGGCTTGGAGTATGCCTTTAATCCCATTACTCTAGAGGCAGAGGCAAGAGGATCTCTGAGTTCAAGACTAACCTGATCTACAGAGTAAGTTCCAGGATAGCCAGGGCTACACAGAGAAATCCTGCTTCAAAAATAAATAAATAAACAAACAAACAAACCTAAGAAAACAAGCTTTGAGAGGCTATAAAATTCTCCAAGGATTACACTCAAACTAAGTGGCAATGCCTGAATTCAAACCACTCAAGCATGTGCCAATTCCAAAACTCATTGCCACTTACTCTGTAACGTACAGCAACTCCGTGATAGACACGTCTCATCTCCCTATGGGTTCACTTGAGCCACATCAGTAAAAGAAATTGTAAAGGCATAGGTTATCCCAAGACTTAAAGAGGGTAAAACAGAGAAACATTTAAACTGCTTTACCGTAATTATAGACAAGATAAGTGAGTACTCTGTTTGCCTGTTTTGAATGACAGTTTCAATATTTCTTTATGATATAGGTCCCACTAATGGATTTTGCTGATCCACAGTTTCCAGCAGTAAGTACAGATCCCAATGAGATTCTTTCTTGGAGGAAAAAGAATCTCTATACTTTAAAAAGTTTGAATGAATTTTTTTTATTTTCTTATTTAACCTATGGGTATGGAGTGTTTCTGAGTTTCTTTTTCTTAACCATTGAGTACTAACTTTTCATACTAATCAATCGAAAAATATGTTCCTGGAGCTCTTCAAAGTTGCTGCAGTGGCTATTTGCCTGTGCTGATTGACTCCTCTGCTTTCTATCTGCTAAAGGTGTTCCAGATAGCCCGTTCCATATCTCGGGGTCCAATGGCACACAATAAAGCACCAGCTGTAAGTCACTGTTTTCTACTTCCACTTCTGTGTTTGAAACTTACTTAAATTTATCTTGGGAAGAGTCACGTTTTTATAACTATTTTGTTCTGCTTAGTTTTACCCAGGAATGTTTTACATGTCTTATGGAGCAAACCAATTGGTAAGTCCATATTCTGTAAAAAGCACCAATTAGATAATATCTTCAGAGCTAAAAGTCATAGAATCTGTACCTAATATAAGATATTCCAAATAAATATTCCCTAAATACCTACAATTGAGATTGCAATAGCAAGATGGCAAACTTCTCTATTTGCATAACTCTAGGCAGACACACACAATTGCATTAAAGAAGTTTTTTTAAATCCGTCAAATTGGCTCTATGTACTCAATAATGGCTCAGCTCTCTACTCAGCCTCTGGACACAGCACTACTAAGTCTTAAGGGAGTACTGAGTGGTTTTGTTTTTTTTTTTTTTACTTTGTCTTGAGTAAATAAGGAAGTCACAGAGGCAGCCAGTTCATAAAGCGATGCACTGTTTCTCTTTTAACAGAATGCTCCTGCCCGAGTTGGCTTCATGAGTTCAGAAGAAATGCCCGTGAGTACTGTCTGCTAACTCTTCTTAGAACAGTGGTCAGGGAGAACTGCTACAGACTTCTGCCTCCAAGAGGCAATGACACTAAAGTGCCTGTAGGATCGTTAGACCTGATTGTACTGCTCCAAAACTGAAAGCTTGACTCTGAACAGTATCAAAAGATTTAAAACATTTCAGAGTTGAGCATGGTGATAGAATCCCAACATTTGGGACATGGAGGTAGGAGGATCAAGAGTTCAAAACCAGCCTTGACTACATGAGACCCTGTCTCAAAAACAGTTGATTTTCACCACATTTTCTAATCATTTGTTCCTGGGTGGCTGCCATTCTTGAGCCTAGGGTTTTGTCCCACTCCTTGAATGTGAGCAGAAGAGTCACTGCTCCTCAAAGAGAGGTCATCGCAATGAGCTGCAAATACTCCAAAGTAAAAGAGATGTGCAGTTTACACAGACATCCCATGCCTTTTAGGACTGTTTAGTTTCCCCAAAAGATAAGTTCAAAAGTAACCCAAAGTAAATCTGCCCTTAAAAGTTAAAGAACAAAAAAGGAAAACTGAGTTTAAGTTTTGGTTATTATAAAGCATATTAAGCCAATGAGAATGTATTATTTTAAGTCAGTGAGACACGACTGTTTTATTATTGTTAGTACATGTTAAAATTTTCAGATTTAAAATCAATAAGCTCACATAATTTTAACTTTTCTCTCTGCAATGTCTACTAGTTACATCTGTTAGGGTGCAAAATGAAACTAAAACTCTATCAAGTTAACGAGTCCTTGCCAATGGCACAGCCTACCAAATTAATAAAGGTACATGCATGTTACCACTAAAAGAAGACTGTCATCGCACCATCTGTTAATGCCTTCTGTGTGCCAGATACACAGAACATGCTAGGGAGCTTAATGATTTAATGAGTTGGAAGATAGGCACCATGCTAATAATGTTACATTCATGGGATAAGAGTAATGAACATGTTATTAGAAAGAAAGTAAGACAGCCCAGCTCAGGCGTTCACAGAGCCAGCTCTAGATGAGATGAGAAGAAAGCCAAGAAAAGTGGAAGGAGAGAATATTTTATTTATACACTACCAACACAATTGGCTGAAATTAAATATCCAAGACAAATGCTAATTATCATCTTATTAGTGATCTAATTATATTCTGTCTCATTCTCAAAAGATTTTGTGATTGTTTATGAAAAACACGATAAGTATAATGAAAAAATTTAAAAGTGAGATTTAAAATGAGTCGAAACAGTGGAGAAATCACTCAGTTCTGCTCAAATATAAATAGTCCTAGATTTTGGTTCCCACAGTCATGGCAGCAAAAGGAACATGTCAAGTTTTAGAATTCTATATGTCCACAGAGGAAATGTTTCCTCCAGAGAAATCAATCCTTTTCTGATACTTCGTTTTTTAAAAAATCGAAGGAAAAGAAAAGGAACAAAACAGAACAGAAGGAAGGGGAGGGAGAGAGTGGGGAGGGGAGAGAAAGAAGACAGAGGGAGGGGGAGAGGTGAGGAGGAGGGAAGTCGAGGGTAAGGAAAGGAAAGGGTCTGAGAGAGAGAAGAGAAGGGGAGGGAGGGGCAAAGGAGGAAGAGGAGGGACGGAAGGGAAGGTGAAGTGGAAGGAGAGTTAAACTCACATAGAACCCTGCTCCTCATGCTGGCCATCTCGCCAGCCTTAACACATGGAGAGGTGCTTAGTCTTACTCAACTTGATACGCCACGTTTTGTTGATATTCATGGGAGAACTGCCCTTTCCTAAACAGAAACCGAGGAGGAGTGGATTATTGGAAGGGGGTGGCGCTGGGAGGAGAGGAGGGAGGAGAAACTGTGGCCAGGATGTAAAAATACATAAATAAATAGAATTATTTAAAAAAAAAAAAAACCTAACACATAGAGCTGTATTTGAGAGATATTGAAAAATGCCATGGCAAGGTCCTCCAGAACTTTCCTCCACAACCAAGGCAGTTATGGACCTCCCGTTTTGGTTTATGATGGTAGAGTCCTTTTCAACTGCTTATTGTTTTCCTTTTACTATTCTTACTATTCTCTCATACATTACATCCCACCCACAGTTTCCCCTCCTTACATTCCTCCCACCTGCCCTCTCCCCCAATCCACTGCTCCTTCATTTCCCTTAAAAAAAAAAAAAAAGCCTGGTATCAGTGCAACAGTCGTAACAAGTTGCAGGAAAACTAGGCACAAACCCTCCCAGCAAAGGCTGCAGACGAAGGAAAAGGCAGACTGTTGCTTACTGTTTTCTTAACATTAAGATGGCAGAGCCTCTACCTTCCTGAAAGCGGCTTTCCCCGACCCAGAGAAGTTCAGAATCCTCTCCGCTGTATTTCATAGCTAGTTCTGTGTGAAGTGTGCTTTCACAAAGCAGTCAGCCAACTCTCTGTTCTGTTAGTGTTTGTAGCTTCTCAGGGAACATACCAGGTGTAAATGCATGGGATTAGTAACACACAGTAATTATGTCATCGATGGATATTTATTTTCCAGGGAGGAAGAGGAAGTCCCATGGGCTATGGAACTCTGTTCCCAGGATTTGGGGGCTTCAGGCAAACCCTTAGAGGACTGAACCCCAATTCACCCAAAGGCGGAGACTTCACTGTGGAAGTAGATCCGGTATCTGTAACCAAAGGCCCCGAGAAGGGAGAGGGTCCAGAAGGCTCTCCACTGCAAGAGGCCAACCCAGCCAAGCGGGAAAACCCAGCTCTCCTTTCGCAAATGGCACCTGGTGCCCATGCAGGACTTCTTGCTTTCCCCAATGACCACATTCCCAGCATGGCAAGGGGTCCTGCAGGGCAAAGGCAGGGACTCCTCGAGGTCACCCCAACAGCTGCCGACCCACTGATGTCCCCGGAATTAGCAGAAGTTTATGATACCTATGGTGCTGATGTTACCACACCCCTGAGTGATGGAGAAGCTACCGTGTCCCCTGATATCACCATGTCCCCTGACACTCAGCAACCACTGATGCCTGGAAACAAAATGCACCAGTCCCAGGTGCACAACGCATGGCGTTTCCAAGAGCCCTGATGACCTTGAGATAGCCGCTACTTTGTGTATGCACAAGCTTTCCAGCTTCGTCCCCATAGCGTACCTTGTTGCTAAAACACTTACTACCCTTCCGCAGTGAAGGTATTAAGAGCACTAAGCATGTATTAATAAATACAAGTGGCTAGAAATAGTGTAGGTCCCTTCTTGCTTCCATTCTTATTGAAATAAAATGTATCAACTGTCTCTGTGATTTAGAAATACTATTAATGATATCAGAGCAAGTCTGAGTCTCAGCACTTGGGGGTCTAGCACTTAGCTGTCTTAGGCATTACAGAATTTCTCTTACTAGCAAGACATCATTATACCCAGGAAATGTGACACTGCTTCTTTCTCTAAGCAAATGCACTTAGTTTCAGAATTCTAAAGTATTTCATTTAACCCTTATTAAATGGTGATTGGTGGGGAACCCTGACTGATATTACTGGGTTTCATATATTGGGTTTAAAATTCTTATTTGTAGACTATTTTATTTAATCTAGGAAAAGAAAAGGCAATTGGCCTGTTTTAAATAAAGGATTTTTCTCACTGAAAATGTCAGGAATTGTATGCTTATTATTTATATGTACTTAAATAGTTAAGAAAAGCATACTCATCCCATGTTTGCTACTCATTAACTTATTTTATTTAATTTATTTTATCCAAAGTTCTCTGAAGATCTACATAAGCCCTAGGCACTGTGCAAGGCATCAGGTTTATGGTCCCATCCTTCAAAAATTAGAATGGACACAATTGACAGATAATCACAGTAATAACAAAACAGCCAGTCTAAGGCAAGCTCAATTACTATACATACATTATCTCACCATGCTACAAAAAAAATAAAAATACGCTGAGGCCTATTATATATTGGTAAAGTTCCCTGAAAAGACCAAGCCCTGGTAGCATGGAGAAGATGCTTCTGAGGGCCCACCAGCTGTCTTAGCAGGTAAAGACACTTAGCACCAGGCTGAGAACCTGAGTTTGGTACCCAGGGACTCACATAGTGGAAGAAGAAAAGCGACTCCCAAAAGTTGTCTTCTGACTTCCACAAGTATACCTTAGCACATGTGAGGACATGTGCACCCACACACAAATCCATGTTATTTTTTTAAATTAGAAAGCACGAGGCTTCTAGTCCAACCTAAGTGGCATTAGAGAAGCAAAGAAGAACCAAACATGTCTCCTTAATAACATAAAGGTTTGCAAAATGAGGCCTCTAAGAGGAAGAAACAGAGTCATGTAGAAAAAAGCTGACATGGGAAAGTAAGATATAGAAAACAACCCATGCCTACTACCAAGGCTGGGTGTGTATTCATCAGAGGATTCTGGCCAAGTTAAGAAATTGTGAACCCAGTTTTGACCATCACTGAAAATGAGCCTCCTGCTCCTCTCCTCCTACTTCTAAGTTTCCCAGCCCAGGTTTTAGACTCCCATCCCCTGATGAATGGCTCAGAATATGATCAAAGAAGAAAGAGCCTGAGATGTTCCCAGACCTACACCACTTTGGGAATGTTAAGAAGCACGTTGCAAAGTGCTAGAGAGGCCCACAGAAATCCACAAAGATACCCCCACAATAGACTGCTGGCAATGGTCGAGAGACAGCTGGAACTGACCTACTCTGGTGATGGGATGACCAAACACCCTAATAGTCATGCTAGAAACCCCATCCAAAGACTGAGGGATCTGGATGCAGAGATCCACAGCTAGGCCCCGGGTGGAGCTCTGGGAGTCCAATTATCAAGAAAGAGGAGGGTTTATATGAGTGAGAATTGTTGAAACCAAGGTTGGATAAAGCACAGGGACAAATAGCCAAACGAATGGAAACACATGAACTATGAACCAATGGCTGAGGGGCCCCCAACTGGATCAGGCCCTCTGAATAGGTGAGACAGTCGATTGGCTTGATTTGTTTGGGGGGCATCTAGGCAGTGGTACCAGGTCCTGTGCTCATTGCATGAGTTGGCTGTTTGAAACCTGGGGCTTATGCAGGGACGCTTGGCTCTGTCTGGGAGGAGGGGACTGGATCTGCCTGGACTGAGTCTACCAGGTTGATCCCAGTCCTCGGGGGAGGCTTTGCCCTGTAGGAGATGGGAATGGGGGGTAGGCTGGGGGGAAGGGGGCAGGAGGGGGGAGAACAAGGAAATCCGTGGCTGATATGTAGAACTGAATAGTATTGTAAAATAAAATAAAAGGAAAAAAATAAAAATAAAAAATTAAAATAAAGAAGCATGTTGCAACAACTTACTGCCACCCCCTCTCCAGGCAGGGCCCTGCTCTCAAGCTTCGTAGACTAGGGGTGGGAAAGAGGCATAAAACAAAATTAAGTTTGCCTTTTCATCGACTGGTAAAGGTACAAGGGATGGAGAGAGACTTCCATGGTGGCTGGCAGCTACTCACTGAGACACAGCTTACCACTGCAGACACTGGCTCCCAAAGCAGCCTGAACAGACGTGTGGTGCATCTGCATTCTATCCCTGACATCACCCCTGAAAATCTGTGAAACATTGGGTGTGAAACGTAGTCTCCATGTCTGTGCTTGCTTCCTGTAATGGTGCTCCTACCTGTACCACAGGGTGAAGGGCGGAAATGAGCTAAACACTCGAGTGGACTGCTGAGTCACATCCTTTTCCTCTCTTCCAACTGGCCCATTTGGTAGACAGAACTCAGCACAGCGGCAGCAGTAACAGCGAAGGATGCAACTGTCCCCACTATCTGATGGATTTGTGCTCTTCCTTCCACGCGGGACACACAGCCCTTCTGCTCCTTCTTTGTCATTCATAGCACTTGGGAGACCATATATACTGTGAACATCAGGCCCTGGGTTCAAAGTTGGCCTCTGTTGGGTGCTTAGTAGTGGTAATATCTAAATCAACTTTGGTGAGAAATAAATGCGTGTTTGAGACCTGGAATGTGCTTTATCCCTTCCACCACACAGTCATTTCAAACACTGGTGTGGTACAAACAACGAAATATCCATGGGAAGAGGCTAAATGTCACCTGAAGAACAGCCCTCTTAACTATTGAGTTTCCTCATTGTGTTTTCTCTCAACGAGGCATTTATAAGAGAAACAAATGTCTTCAAACTATATCCCATCCTGACAGGTCTACCCAAAGACCTTTCTTCTACACCCACCTCACCTCTAATCTTTCAATTTTATTCTTTCCAAACTCCTGACCAGGAGACAAATCTAGAATTTCCTGCATCAGTACAATACTGAATCTCAGATCATCTCTCCTTACACACAAAACAGACAACCAGACACATCATTTAGACGAATACAGTTCCCTGTCTGCCAACTTCCAGCTGGCACCAAAACACCGTACAGAAATCCACAAATACACTCTCCTCTCCATAAACTGCTCACAGGCAGAGTGGGCGCATAATTGGTTCCTCTGAACGGGGATACATTTCACAGTGAAAAGGGGTGTCGTTGATGATTACACTAGACAGCAAGTGTAAACAAGAACTGCCTAAAGCAAACTTGAACATCTGGCTCCTCTGACATGGAACTCCTTGTGACATCAGACCTGTGAATGGAGGGAAAGTTCTCAAAGTTTAAAAAAAAAACAAGAATGTGGAAACCCAAGCTGGTTGATTCTGTAATGTACCTGTGTCCTCCAGACCTGCTATCATAGTTCTCACTTTCACGGTTACTGTGCCCTGCTTTATAATTCAATGAACACATATACCACATAGCCCAGATGGGGACTAATGACTCTAATCACTTACAGAAAAACAGCTTGTCTCTGTCAGTACGCAGCAGCAAGGTAGGAATTACTTTTCACAAAGAAACACCTAAGGTTATATGCTGTTATTTTTCTACTAGGACTAGCCGCGGATCCCATATTGCTCTAGATACTTCTAATATATTGAGGCCTTCTGCATCCCAATATCCATGTGATAAGAGAACTTCCATTATAGAGACCCTTTTGTTCTCTATATGCTACCCCAAATGTTTAGCCTTTTGAGATACATAATATGTGGCTAGGCTGTCTTCAAGACAGGGGCCAGGGCCCATTGGGCTTCTTTCTTCTTGTAGGTAGCATAAGAAACAACAGCTTGCTGACACCCTCAGCTACCCCAACATGCCTTAGAGCACTAGATCCTTGCAGCAATTATCCTAGGAACTTCTGCACGGTTATGTTCTACCAGAAGTTCACTAATTCATGTTAACTGGACCCTGAAGCACTGGCCTCAATGTCCTGGGCTGTCACAGTGTCTTATAAGACATAAATAACCAAGAACTTTGAGGACTGTATTATAACAGATTGCAGGGCAGTTTATCTAGTTAGTCCTAGGGTAAATCACAAGCTAATATTGCTCTTGCTTTTTAAAAGCAAATTGAGTCTAACTTTTTAACTGAACAAAATAGAAAGAAAGTGTTGGCCATATCAATAACAACATATCAAGTTCCACACTGGAAAGTTATATGAAACTATAAACACTACTTGAATGAGTTCACAATAACCCACTTTAACACCCAATGACACATTGTGCTCTTGCACAACCCAAGCAGGCAAATTCAGTGTAGAGATGATACAACACCCTATCTGTCAGTACCTCTTTAGTATCCTCTGCAAGACATCACAGTTTTGTTGGAAATGATGGAGTGTGGTCCCAGAAGCTTCCTTCCAGCGATAGTTCATTCCATCAGATTTCACAGGGCTGATGTAGGAAGTGCAAAAGAATCCTGCTCCCGAGTAAGTACAACTATTAATACTATATACTCTGAAGCTGAAGATATCATCATATGATAGATCCATTGCACCTGTTGTTATATAGCTGTGGAACAAGATCCCACCCCACTCATCTGACTTCTATAAGCATTGATTAGTAAACTACAAGTGATTTTCAGATGCTAAACCACAATATCCATCCCCCAGAAGTCTGAAGTCTAGATAGCTCTCATCATTCATGACACGCAACATGGTCTCCCTAGTAGAATACCTCAAGTCCTTTCATTGAAAGTTAAAAAAATTTAATGACATACACATGTGAACACATTGCAAGACCATGCCCCACAGCGTTCTGATATCACCCTAATGGGCAGCTCCAGTTTTAGAAGCTAAAGGAGAAATGAGAAACCATGAATCCCACTATGATAACTTGAGTTAGGCTCAAGGATTCTAGAATTATTTAATAATTTTTGATTTTTGAGATCATAATTTAATTACATCAGTTCCTCTATCCCTTTTCTTTCTCTAACCCCTCCTATGTCCCCATGTACTACCCCCTTGCTCTCTTTCAAATCACGGCCTCTTTTTTTTTAATTGTTGTTAGATGTGTGTGTGTGTGTGTGTGTGTGTGTGTGTGTGTGTGTGTGTGTTCTTAAATTCATAAATACAACCTGTTCCATCCACATAATGTTACTTGTATGTATAAGTTTTCAGGCTGACCATTGGTATTGAATAACCAGTTGATGTGCTCTTCAATGGGGAAGATTATTTCTCCCCCTCTCGGCATTCCTTAGCTGCCTGCAGTTCTTTGTCTAAGGTTGAAGCCTCATGAGCATTTCCTCCAACCACTTTAGCTCGTCTATTGATGCCATCATTCCTCAGATCACGTTTAGGCAGCCATCCTGGTAAGACTTCATGGATGTAGCTTCTGACTTTTCTAGCAGACACAATCTCACAGCAAACGCCCTGTTACCCTGGATCTTACAATTTGCCCCTCTTCTTCACTAATCCCTGAGCCTTAGGTGCAGAGGTTGTATTGTGGATATATCAGTTGGGACTCCAACAGCTCTGCATTTTGATCAGGTGTGAGTTTCTGTAATAGTCCGTCTGTTGCAAAGACAAGTTTCCTTGATGAGAGGTGAAAACCATGCTAGCTGGACCTTGGAAAGGGAAGTTGATCCTAGAATTTTCATGTGGAGCAACAACTTAATTAAAATGTCCATCTACTTTTTCCCTGGAGCCCTGTGATCATCTAGTATCATCACAAAACATTATTGGTCAAAACATCCTGATCTGCATTACAGCCTATAGTTTATTGTGGTCAGAGCATCTTCCATGTCTCTATGAGACAAACTCTGCTGCCTATCTGCTGTTCCTAATGCTTATTTTTCCCATTGAGTGTTCAAAGCAACAGCTTTTGTTACATTTGCTCTACCAAGAATAGAACCACAGAGCTCATTTCTAACACCTTCAAGAAAGAGTGTTTTCTGGGATTTTCTGGGCAAGGAGAGAAAGGTAAATCCAGACTAATAAATACAGTATCTCATTATACCAGTGCCTGGTGTTTGCACACCACTGGCATAAAGACATTTTTATGTAACATATAAATAGCATTGTTTAACTTATATCAGGTAGTATGGCTTTTCCATTCACAGATGTAAAGGAGAGGTATCTGTTACGTTTGTTTTTAAGTGTTTAGACAAAAGAAAATATAGCAAGAAAGTAAGACTGGTTATCTCAAACATGAATAATCTTGGATTTAATTCCACCTTACCTTTCATGGGTGAGAATATTAATGCTTGGAAGATGTCTTTTTTTTTTTAAGTTCTTTTTGGGGGTTGGTTTCGGAGGCAGAATTTTAGCCAATGCTAACCCACACAGGTTCCATACAGCACTGAAGCATCTATTTTCTTGAGATGCTAATGGAAGTTGTGAATGACCTTTCTCAAAAACTAAATGGAAAGAAGACAAGATTCTGTCTACAGTTTCACTGTTTGCTCTGATGACTCAAAACACTTCCTTGGATCTAAGGTTAAAAAAATTTAATACAATTGTTTAAACATCCACCAGTGTATGATATAGATGAGATGAAACACTCAAATTGACCCAGATTAAGTGCTTAAATTTTATTAGAAGTTGGAATATTCTCCCCACAAAATCAAGTCTGACAAACACAAGAACTATAAACCTCAAATACGCTCCTCTTTGGGTCAAAACTGCTCAGCACTAAGCCCACACGGTGGCTGACACCTGTAATCCTGCGACTCAGAAGGCTGAGGAGAGAGGACTGCTCTGTACTCTGTCCTCCAGATAGTGTGGCAGCCAGTCAAATGACATCAACCGACAGACGGAGCTCCATTTGGTAACGAGGGAAACCAAACCGGAGTCTAGATGGTTGCTTTCTTCCATAAACATCAGAGACTGGGAAGACAGCAGAAGCAGCAGCAGCCACAGTCCACAGAAGCCAGACATTAGAAACAAAAATTTCTAGTCTGAGAAATGATCATTATAAAGCTGTTTGCTGTGATGCCTTTGCTGATGTCTTCATCTCGCTCTAACTCTCAACTTTCATCTTTTCCCCAGGCTCAGCAGCTTTCTACCCAGAGACTCGTCTAACAACCAGTTTGATAATGACATAAAGATACACTGTAGTGAGCACAGTCAAGGAGATAACTGTGGGCTTTCCATGGTGGATGGACATTTGCATTCTAATTTATTCACAAGCCAGAAATGTATGGTTGTTAAAGATACGTTTTGGAAAAACTAACATTAAAAAGTCAACCCTGGAGTTACATGTCTAGCATATTTTGAACATCATTTCTCATGGCTTTCTCCAGACATGTAACCTCCATGAAACAAGGATAGAGTCCCAAAGACAGAAACAGGAGAATGTCTATGGATGATGAGGTACAGTTACTGCTTCTCACACAGGGAAAACGGAAGACAAAGGGGTAGGGGGAGAAGAAAAAGAGGTGGAGGAGAGAGGAAAAGAAGAGGAGAAGGAGAGAAGAGGAAAAGAGGGGAGGGGAAAGGAGGGAAGGGGAGGGCAGAGGAGGGGAAGGGAGGAGAGGGGACCTAGAATGACTATCTTGGCTTCTCTAAGACTTGCCTACTTACTGCCTAAAAAAATGCCATTAATTACTTTCAAGCCAAGTTAATGAAATATAGTTCTCCCTTTAAAAGCATATTTGGAAAGTTTTGTTCTCCTTTTCTTCTGCTTTGTATTGTCCGTGTCAAGCATGGTTTTTGTGGAGATGCCATGCTGTTCTAAGGGTTGTTGCCTGTCTTGCTGTTCTGGGAAATGTGTTTGTTCAATAAAGATTCGAGTGACCACCATGTACCATGTACCACATACCATTAATCTAGGCACTAGGACACAGTGATAAACAGAATACCACATCAGTAACACAATATCAGGTCATGAGAAGCTTTATGGAAAAACTAGAGTAGAATGAAAGGAGAAGGGATGTTAGGATGATTGGAGAGAACCCTCTGAGGAAACGACATTTGAACTTAATGATGTCAAAACAGAAATTCCTGAGATCACCAGCAAACATGCTGAACATACTCATTGTTAAAGAATGCTAAATAAGCTAAATAAAAACTTCCCCACAATTATAGTCAGAAGAACAATTAAATGCCAGAGCGGTATCTCTCCAACCTAAACATCTCCAATCTGGCGTCTGTCCCTAATTCCTATCACATCCTGAAGCACCTTCTTGGTCATGGTGTGGTACCAGTGGGAGAAAAAAAACAGGCAACTTAACCTTGACTCCAATCTGATTTCATTATAACTTGAAAATATTCCTTTAATGCAAACGCTAAGCATGAATATATGAGAGTAGTCTAAACCCCAATTCTGCCCTTCTTGGCTGGTGCCAAACCTTCTGTGCCGCAGTTTCCATATCTAAAATCAAAATAATACCACAACCCAGTCAGGATTCAGCTCAGTGGTGGAGTACTTGCCAAGCACACATAAGGCTCTACGTGGAAAAAAAAACTTTAAACTAAATTGTCTATTTAATATTATCCTGGTATGGTAGCTCGTGCCTCTAAATCCCAGAATTGAGGCACTGGAGGAAGGATCATGAAGAATTCAAGGTCAGTCTTAGATATATGCCAATATGAGTCCAGCTACATAGGACTTCGTCTCAAAAAACAATAGTAATAGTAATAATAGAATCCAGCATCCAGAACTGAATAATAAAAGTCAATATTGAAAGGGCTTTCAACAGTGACTTATATATACGACAAACTCATCAAATAACAGCTATGACAATGGGTGTTTGTTGGTTTGAGACAGAGCCTCATTCTGTAGTTCTGGCTGTCCTGGAACTTGCTATGTAGACCAGACCAGCCTTGAACTCATGGAGATCCACCTGCCGCTACCTCCTAAGTGCTGGGATTAAAGATATGCACCACCACACCTGGATATGACTGTGCTTTTTGAATCTACTTATACATACAATATCTTGTTATACTTATGAAAATAATAATTCTTTAAGCAACACCTGAGTTTAAAATTCATTCTCATAGGCACACACTCTTTGAAAGCAAAATTAGCATTTTTCATATTCATTTCATTCTCCCCAGCCCTAGAACAGCTCAACAAAATAACTAATTAAACACACATTTCCCAAAGTCATTGAAAAAAAGGCTAATAAAACCTGCCAATGGACACTGACTTAAGTAAGACTGTAATGTAGAACTCACAATCTGTTCTCAGAGAGATTGTATCACCACTAGCCGAATTATGTTTTGTAGGACCACCTAAGTGAATATAACCCCTTACTTCATGCTGCCATAATCACCTACCATAGGAAGAAAATTCAGTTATGCAGATTCAGTTAGCTTTGTTCAGCTAAGACATCTTTGGCACCTACCACGCTAGGCTCTCTGCAGCCACTAGAGAAAATGGACGACTATGGTCAATGTTACCACCAAGATTAGGACATAATGGCTGTGAACACTCAGAGGACAGAAAGGCTGGCTCTGCCAGGAAAGAAGAGGAAAGTTTCCCAGTGAAGAGAATTTGTAAACTGACCCTCAAAAGATGGGAAGAAATTTTCCAAGTAGAAGAATGAAGAGGGAAGTTATAAGTCCATAAGCCACACACACAGACAGACTGATATATAGAAAGATCTGGAGAACCCTGAAGGGGGTTCCAACATACATGTCAGGATATCAGGAGAAACTGCATGGTGGTGTGTTGATAAACAAGGAGGTGATAGAAAACCTGTATTGCTACCTTAGATGTGTGCATTGTGCTCTATAGCTCTCAGAGGAACACCAGAGAGATTATAGGATCATACCTGGACTGGAAGAAAGTAATCAGGCACATGGAACATAGGACAGGAATAGTGGAAACATGAATCCAATTAGGACCATCTCCCATGTCTGTGTCTTTTTTTTTTCTTGTCTTTTTTAGAAATATTTTTATGAATTTCACATGAGTACTGTATTTACATGATTTTCACCCTTTCTTTCCCTCTCTAACTCCTCCCATATCCCCACTCTGCTCCCTCTAAAATTTATGACCTCTTCTTCTATAATTATTATTGTTACATATACACATACACCCAAACTCACCAAGCCCATTGAGTGTTGCTCCTGTGAATGTGTGTTTAAGGCTGACCACTTGGGATTGGAATTAGATAAACTACCAGGAGACTCGTTGCTGGGGGAAAAAATGGATTCTTGCTCAGCAGACATTGCTTCATCTATTTTGCAACCTTGCAAAATGTCCCCCTCCATGTTAGCATGTCAACTAGTGTGGTTATTGTTCAGGTCTTGTTTGGGCAGCCACATTGCTGCCATTTCATGGATCCATTTTCCTTGTCATGTCTAGAAGATATAACCTGCAATGGGCATCCTGGTCCTCTGGCTGTTACAATCTTTCTAGCCCCTCTTCCATGATGTTCCCCGAGCCTTAAGTGTGGGGGTTGTTTGTAATTGTACCGTTGAGACTGGGTACCACAATCACTGGTTCTCTGCATTTAGACTGGTTGTGGATCTGCCTCCATCTGCTGCTGAAAAAAAAAAGAAGTTTCTTTGATGAGAGATAAAAATTACACTTATCTGTGAGTGCAAGCATAAATATTTAGAGTGAAGTAGGAATATTACTAATATTGGAAAGTGGCAGTAGCTGGTGCTCCTCTACTAGAGTCTGTGACCTCTCCAACCATGGGTGGTTGGCTAGGTCTACAATACTAAGTACAAATTCCTTCCTATTGAATGACTTAGTCCAGTTAGACAGATATTTGTTACCCCCAAGATATAAGTACCACTATTGTACCATAGGAGATATCTTGCCAGGTCATTGTGTTCTACAGACTTTATCTCCGAGTAGGAAACTTGACTGTTCTTCTCCCTTGGCAGCTTACATAGCACCTTCAGATACTATGAGAGCCAGTCATCAGGGAAGAGGCTTCCAGGTCTCTTCCAACCCAGTTCCTCCAAAGGTATGCATTCTGTGTCTATCTTTATGACAAGGCTGACAGCATCACCTTTAATGCCAGCACTCAGAAGGCAGAAACAGGCTGACCTCTGTGAATTTGAGACTAGCTTGGTCTACATATCAAGTTTCAGGCCAGCCATAGCTATACCATGAGACTCTGTCTAAAAAAATAAAAAGTACACCAATTCATCTTTCTAGAGCTTTGTTCCCTTATCTACTCAATAAGAGAATTTGATTGCCATGTTTTACTTAATTGCACACATATTTCTTAATTACCTACTATGTTCCAGGCCCCAGAGATACAGTAATGGGCATGACAAGCAAAATGTCCTGCCTCTATATAGCTTACATTGTGGTAAAAAGACAACAAAATTTAAATTTGAAAATATTACTGAGCTGGTGGTAGGTGAGATGGAGAAAAATAATGCAGGAAGGGAGAATCGGAGGGATGGGTAGCAAGGGAGCATTCGCAAGGAGGACTGAAAGTCTTAAGGCAGAAATGAGTCTAGTATGATCCATAAAGAGCAGTGAAGCCTACGTGGCTCGAGCAGAGAAGGAATCTAGTGTAAGGGCTGGAGACCAGAGGGATAGACTCAGATCACACAAGGCCCTGTGGGAAATACAAGGGCTGACTTCAAGCCAGGCCATGATAAGGAGCCACTGGAAGAAAGCTATGACCCAACTTGTTAAAGTATTGTTAGCTTCTGGTTTGAGAAGATGCTGAAGAGAGGCAAAAAAAGAGAGTTGACAGGAATGCAATTCTGTGAGGACACCAGGGATGGGGATGTGTAAAGTGGTCTCATCCTGTGTCCATCTTTATGACAAGGCCAGCAGCATCACCTGAGAGCAAAAAGAGGGGCTAAGGACTACCCCAAGACTTCAGACACACAGAACTGGAGGGACAAGGACATGACTCCAAGTTTTGTCAACTTTTATCTTTCTTCATGGTAGCGTCTTCTACCTACTTAGAAACAAACTCCGTAAAAACTAAAAGTATTCACTATTTGTAGCTAGAGTTTTTCTGCCTGGCCCACAGTCAGGACAAATCTCTGTCACCCGCCAGTCCCACAGCCGCTCAGACCCAACCAAGTAAACACAGAGACTTATATTGTTTAAACTGTTGGGCCTAATGGCTCAGGCTTCTAGCTATCTAGTTCTTACATCTTAAATTAATCCATTTCTATAAAACTATACCTTGCCACATGCCTCGTGGCTTACCAGCGTCTTCACATGCTGCTTGTCATGGCGGCGGCTGGCAGTGCCTCTCCAACTCAGCCTTCCACTTCCCAGAATTCTCCTCTCTCCTTGTCCTGCCTATACTTCCTGCCTAGCCACTGGCCAATCAGTGTTTTATTTATACAGAGCGATATCCACAGCACTTCCCTTTTTCTTTTTTTTCAAAAAGAAAGGCTTTAACCTTAACAGTAAAATTACATATAATTTGGGAATTTGGGCGGAGCTTCTCTTACTACTTCCTGCTGGAGGGGGGCGCTATATCTTATGGGGACACAAAGAAAATTTTAGGATTATGGAGTAGTCCATGAGGCTGTATTGAATCATTTCCTGTCTTCAGACAGCTTTACAGTAAAGGTTATGGGGGAAACCCTTTCTTTAAAATCTTACTAAACTATGCAGCTGCAGAAGAGATGGCTCCACAGTTAAGACAGTTGGTTGCTTCCAGAGGACCCCAGTTTGGCTCCAGCATTCCCTCCAGGACCACAGGATCCCACACCCTCTTCTGGCTTCCTCCAGTACCCACATACTCAGGGAATATGCTCACACACATACACATTAACAAAAACAAGTGAAAGAAACACACCAGAAGGAAAATGCTCGCTTTTCTAAAGTCTCGATCTTTTTCCTTTTACTGGTGCTCTGATCCTTCGATTGTATTGTGTTCCTTTGTGTCTCATAGGAGTGCAGATGTTGCATTGCTGGTGCACGCAGACCAATCTTGTCATCAGATCAGGAAAGAACCAAGATATGCCCAGGAAGGGAAAGGCCTCGCTGCTGACACTTTCGGTCCCCAGTTCTAGGGCTGCCCCTTGTGTCTGTGTCTGCATAGGCCTGTGACAAAAGTTTCAGAGCAAGAAAGAAGTGGAGGCTGGCAGTTCTCAGAGAAGATCCACTCCTTGAATATCCTGATCTCTGCATATGGAAACATACAGAACCACAGCGTCTACTTACTGCTCAGCTATGAGGAAAGTACAGTAAGTGTAGTCTATAAAACCTTGAAGTCAAACATACTCAGTGAAGATGGATTTATGATAGCCATTGTCTGTGAATGGATGGATAAATTTTGGTGGACTTCGGTATAGTACAAGATCCATAAACAGGTTTGTAAGTAAATTGTCCTTGTATGTGAAAGGGAGTTTGGAATGTATGTGTCCTTTGAATGTAGACAGTCTGTAGAAATGCTAGCATTTCTGGAAAAAAAAAAGTGATTAGGTGTTGTCTAGGAAGAGATGACGTAAAAGACTAAATGAGATTTGACCTACTCAATCGTCTAGCTTCTCTAAGTGTTCATTTAGAAGTAGATTCGCCTTGCCTGGCACACAACATACCCCCAATACTGAGTGTATAGTCTT